CTGACTAATACTTTTATTAACTCCACACCTTCTCCTAATTTCCACACTCCGAATTTTCTGCATAATATTTACACCACACATTGCCCTTAGACAGGACATCTCCACTGCCTCCAACCACCTCCTCGCTGCTGCATTCACAACCCAAGCTTCACACCCATGTAAGAGTGTTGGCACTACTATACTTTCATACATTCCCTTCTTTGCCTCCATAGATAATGCTTTTGTCTCCACATACACCTCAACGCACCACTCACCTTTTTTTCCCTCATCAATTCTATGATTAACCTCATCCTTCATAAATCAATCCGTCGACATGTCAACTCCCAAGTATCTGAAAACATTCACTTCTTCAATACTCCTCCTCCCAATTTGATATCCAATTTTTCTTTATCTAAATCATTTGATATCCTCATCACCTTACTCTTTTCTATGTTCACTTTCAACTTTCTACCTTTACACACACTCCCAAGCTCATCCACTAACCTTTGCAATTTTTCTTTAGAATCTCCCATAAGCACAGTATCATCAGCAAAAAGCAACTGTGAATTCCCATTTTGTATTTGATTCAACATAATTTAATACCAACCCTCTCCCGAACACCCTAGCATTTACTTCTTTTACAACCCCATCTATAAATATATTAAACAATCATGGTGACATTACACATCCCTGTCTAAGACCTACTTTTACCGGGAAGTAGTCTCCCTCTCTTCTACACACCCTAACCTGAGCCTCACTATCCTCATAAAAACTCTTTACAGCATTTATTAACTTACCACCTATTTCATACACTTGCAACATCTGCCACATTGCTCCCCTATCCACTCTATCATATGCCTTTTCTAAATCCATAAATGCAATAAAAACTTCCCTACCTTTATCTAAATATTGTTCACATATATGCTTCAATGTAAACACTTGATCCATACATCCCCTACCCACTCTAAAACCTCCTTGCTCATCCGCAATCCTACATTCTGTCTTACCTCTAAGTGTAAATATATCTTATTTATAAAGTGTATACATTTCTTATTTACAAATTAAAATGTATATATTTATTTATAAATTATGTACATTGTGTGAATAGTGTTGGTGGCTTCTGCTGCTGTCTCCACTACACTAATATGTACGGCTTCTCTCGGTGGCCCTTATAAACCCAACACCACCACCACCACTTACTCCTCACATATGTAATGACATATTTTATTCATTCTAGAGTATATAACATGTCTCTATGTTATTAACAGTGTTTATTATGTAATATTAGATGAATTGTGATAGATAAATAAGCCGTGGAATATAGTTCTTCTCTATAAAATGTATTTTTTGTTTATACTTTTAGATGTCTGAAATGGATTAATTGGATTTACATTGTTTCTTATGGGGAAAATGGTTTGTTTTAGTTGATTTCACATTTCGTTGGACTCTCTGGAATGAATTAGACAAAAAGGGAGGGTCCACTGCATTAAGAAACATATGAAAGTAAGTGTTTACTGAATGTAACAAAAAGCTTGTAGGAGTTATCTAACATCTTACATGTTCATGAGAGAGAAAAATTTGCAATTCTGCCAAAGTTCAAAACACTTAACAGACCTCTGTTTCACTCTTGCATCACAGAACAGTAGTACATCTCAACTAGTACAATTTATGAAGAAATGGATATGGAAGTTGGCGTATGAGAGATAATAAACGAGAAAATTCAATGAGAAAATAAAAACTTTGGTTATAAAGATCAGATTTTTAGGACAACTGTAAAATTGTCTCAGCTTTCATAAAAACGGGATGCTTGAATGTGAGTGGATGTAGTGGCGGATGACAAGATAACAGATGATTGAGATGTTATGAATGAAAAAGAGTTGGATGTCCTGGCCTAAGCGAAACAAAGCTGAAGGGGGTAGGCGAGTTTCGGTGGGGGGAAATAAATGGGATTTAAATCTGGAGTATCTGAGAGAGTTAGAGCTAAGGAAGGGGTAGCAATAATGTTGAAGGATCAGTTATGGAAGGAGAAAAGAGAATATGAATGTGTAAATTCAAGGATTATGTGGATTAAAGTAAAGGATGAATGCGAAAAGTGGGTCATAATAAGCGTGTATGCACCTGGAGAAGAGAGGAATATAGAGGAGAGAGAGAGATTTTGGGAGATGTTAAGTGAATGTATAGGAACCTTTGAACCAAGTGAGAGAGTAATTGTGGTAGGGGACCTGAATGCTAAAGTAGGAGAAACTTATAGAGAGGGTGTGGCAGGTAAGTTTGGGGTGCCAGGTGTAAATGATAATGGGAGCCCTTTGAATGAACTTTGTATAGAAAGGGGTTTAGTTATAGGTAATACATATTTTAAGAAAAAGAGGATAAATAAGTATACAAGATATGATGTAGGGTGAAATGACAGTAGTTTGTTGGATTATGTATTGGTAAATAAAAGACTGTTGAGTAGACTTCAGGATGTACATGTTTATAGAGGGGCCACAGATATATCAGATCACTTTTTAGTTGTAGCTACACTGAGAGTAAAAGGTAGATGGGATACAAGGAGAATAGAAGCATCAGGTAAGAGAGAGGTGAAGGTTTATAAACTAAAAGAGGAGGCAGTTAGGGTAAGATATAAACAACTATTGGAGGATAGATGGGCTAATGAGAGCATAGGCAATGGGGTCAAAGAGGTATGGGGTAGGTTTAAAAATGTAGTGTTAGAGTGTTCAGCAGAAGTTTGTGGTTACAGGAAAGTGGGTGCGGGAGGGAAGAGGAGCGATTGGTGGAATGATGATGTAAAGAGTAGTAAGGGAGAAAAAGTTAGCATATGAGAAGTTTTTACAAAGTAGAAGTGATGCAAGGAGGGAGGAGTATATGGAGAAGAAGAGAGAGGTTAAGAGAGTGGTGAATCAATGTAAAAAGAGAGCAAATGAGAGAGTGGGTGAGATGTTATCAACAAATTTTGTTGAAAATAAGAAAAAGTTTTGGAGTGAGATTAACAAGTTAAGGAAGCCTAGAGAACAAATGGATTTGTCAGTTAAAAATAGGAGAGGATAGTTATTAAATGGAGAGTTAGAGGTATTGGGAAGATGGAGGGAATATTCTGAGGAATTGTTGAATGCTGAAGAAGATAGGGAAGCTGTGATTTCGTGTATAGGGCAAAGAGGAATAACATCTTGTAGGAGTGAGGAAGAGCCAGTTGTGAGTGTGGGGGAAGTTCGTGAGGCAGTAGGTAAAATGAAAGGGGGTACGGCAGCTGGGATTGATGGGATAAAGATAGAAATGTTAAAAGCAGGTGGGGATATAATTTTGGAGTGGTTGGTGCTATTATTTAATAAATGTATGGAAGAGGGTAAGGTACCTAGGGATTGGCAGAGAGCATGCATAGTTCCTTTGTATAAAGGCAAAGGGGACAAAAGAGAGTGCAAAAATTATAGGGGAATAAGTCTGTTGAGTATACCTGGTAAAGTGTATGGTAGAGTTATTATTGAAAGAATTAAGAGTAAGACGGAGAATAGGATAGCAGATGAACAAGGAGGCTTTAGGAAAGGTAGGGGGTGTGTGGACCAGGTGTTTACAGTGAAACATGTAAGTGAACAGTATTTAGATAAGGCTAAAGAGGTTTTTGTGACATTTATGGATTTGGAAAAGGCATATGACAGGGTGGATAGGGGGGCAATGTGGCAGATGTTGCAGATGCATGGTATAGGAGGTAGGTTACTGAAAGCAGTGAAGAGTTTTTACAAGGATAGTGAGGCTCAAGTTAGAGTATGTAGGAGAGAGGGAGATTATTTCCCAGTAAAAGTAGGCCTTAGACAAGGATGTGTGATGTCACCGTTGTTGTTCAATATATTTATAGATGGGGTTGTAAGAGAAGTAAATGTGAGGGTCTTGGCAAGAGGTGTGGAGTTAAAAGATAAAGAATCACACAAAGTGGGAGTTGTCACAGTTGCTCTTTGCTGATGACACTGTGTTCTTGGATGATTCTGAAGAGAAGTTGTAGAGGTTGGTGGATGAATTTGGTAGGGTATGTAAAAGAAGAAAATTGAAAGTGAATACAGGAAAGAGTAAGGTTATGAGGATAACAAAAAGATTAGGTGATGAAAGACTGGATATCAGATTGGAGGGAGAGAGTATGGAGGAGGTGAATGTATTCAGATATTTGGGAGTGGACATGTCAGCGGATGGGTCTATGAAAGATGAGGTGAATCATAGAATTGATGAGGGGAAAAGGGTGAGCGGTGCACTTAGGAATCTGTGGAGACAAAGAACTTTGTCCTTGGAAGCAAAGAGGGGAATGTATGAGAGTATAGTTTTACCAACACTCCTGTATGGGTGTGAAGCATGGTGTGATGAATGTTGCAGCAAGGAGAAGGCTGGAGGCAGTGGAGATGTCATGTCTGAGGGCAATGTGTGGTGTGAATATAATGCAGAGAATTCGTAGTTTGGAAGTTAGGAGGAGGTGCGGGATTGCCAAAACTGTTGTCCAGAGGGCTGAGGAAGAGTTGTTGAGGTGGTTCAGGCATGTAGAGAGAATGGAGCGAAACAGAGTGACTTCAAGAGTGTATCAGTCTGTAGTGGAAGGAAGGCGGGGTAGGGGTCGGCCTAGGAAAGGTTGGAGGGAGTGGGTAAAGGAGGTTTCGGGTGCGAGGGGCTTGGAGTTACAGCGGGCATGCATGAGCGTGTTTGATAGGAGTGAATGGAGACAAATGGTTTTAAATACTTGAAGTGCTGTTGGAGTGTGAGCAAAGTAACATTTATGAAGGGATTCAGGGAAACCGTCAGGCCGGACTTGAGTCCTGGAGATGGGAAGTACAGTGCCTGCACTCTGAAGGAGGGGTGTCAATGTTGCAGTTTAAAAACTGTAGTGTAAAGCACCCTTCTGGCAAGACAGTGATGGAGTGAATGATGGTGAAAGTTTTTCTTTTTCAGGCCACCCTGCCTTGGTGGGAATCGGCCAGTGTGTTAATAAAAAAAAAAATAATAAAAATAAATTTATTTTTACTGCTTTACTTATCAACCTTCCTTACCAGACTCAACATATCCTCCAGGCAGCTTCCAGTGTGGACGAGTATGGAATCTTTCTCGAACAACCAGCAACTCATCCTGATCATTCACCACAAAAGCACCAACTCCCACTACAGTATGTGCATACCTGGAAATATTACAATGTACATGCAATTCTGTTATTTGGAAGAAGTTATAGAACAAAAAATTTATTTGCAGTATTACACTATGATTTTATGAAAAGTTTTACACTCTTAGGCCAGTAGTACTGAAAAGTCCATGGTATATGCAGCATTTTTGGCAGAACTAAACCAAATACAAAAACTCAAATTTCAATTTTATACAATATTTGGAACACTGTACAAATAGAATTAAAAATAGCACTGTACTGTGTACAAGCACAGTGGTACCTCGAAAGACGAACTTAATTCATTCCAGAAGGCTGTTCAAGTACCAATACCGAACGAATTTGTTCTCATAAGGAATAATGCAAATTAGATTAATCCATTCCAGACCCCCAAAAATGCAGTTACAAAAGCACTTACATAACTGTTCGAGTTCTAAGCTGTTCATATCCCGAGGTACCACTGTATTAATCTTTAGACAAGTTTACAATATGAAATTGGTATTACCAACAAAGGCATGGTACACAATACTGCACTGCAATAAAACAGTACAGCACACTACCACGGTGGGAGACAGCCAGTGTGTTAAAAAATTAAACTAATCCTAATGCACATAAAAATAAAGAAATGTGTTGTGCCTCAATAATGCTTAAATTGGAGATGGGGTTACAGTGTATGGGTCATTATGCGGAAATAACTGCGTATCCCCAAAGGGGTACCTTTGAGAGGTTGCCTCGACAACACCATCAAATTTTCAACTTTTGTGTACAGTAACAGGAACCAAACTTTTGGAATGACTGACATGTTGGAAATTTGGAAATTAGTTTCCATATGATGACCTATGAATATCTCTTCTGATTCTCTTCAGATGTTCAATGCTAATATTTAACTGCATGACCAACTTATGCCACACTGCACTATTCCAATCATATGTAATAAGGCACAAGAGAATGGGGTTATGGAGCATGGAGGATACCTTTCTCAGATCACACAGGGACCAAAACACATCTAATTTATAAATACTGTACTATATACAATACTAAAATAATAATGAATTTGGAACTGCAGCATAATTTTCAGTCCATAGTGTTTATGCTGTTGAAATTGGTAGTAAAATGATGATTCAGCACTCTGCCATTTAACAAGGTGTACTGGAGTTTAAAAGCTTGCTTCCATGCAAACTGCAATACCCCAATTTGATGGCTCCTTGAAGAAATGTATGTAAATTTATCCTCACCTTGGTATATTATTTGGTTCAGTGACTGCTAACCACTTCAACATCATCACGTACTGGGAATGGGCATGGTGATACACAAAGCCATGCTGTAACAAACAAAAATTTAAAAATTCCTAGTTTTATTGTATGTGTGGCATAGTGTATACAGTATTATATACATAGTAAAAAAATTATGTATACCTGGTGCTGTATTAAACATTTTACCTTGACAGGTTGTGAAGCATAATGATATTTACTGACAGAAGACATTATTATACTAGAAGACTAATGATAAGAGTGCCACATATATAAAAAAAATATATAAATGAAGAATTTGCTTACCAATACCAATTAAACTCTTGAGCCAATAATTAATTCACTGGTAAGAAAAATCAAACCTTACCTTGGCCAAGATAGGCACCCATTCCGCATGCTGAAGGTCAACTTTAAACCAAACTCCTCTAATTTTTTCTTTCCGCCAATGAGCCAAAGATGCTGTGAATAGATACGAGAAACTAATTTATTCCTGGGGGTAATAAACATAATTACACAATTATACTACACAAACAGTGTCAAAAAAAAAACTTATTCTACGTCCAGACTCCCACACATGACACAGTGAATAATGTCTCATAGAGTTTATTGACATTGTCAGTTTCATGTTCATAATATACAGAGCAAAGCTCAACTGACTGGCTAGGTGAAGGTGTCACACATGCCCAATGGTTCCTCATCAGTCGGCCCCATTCCAAAGCTGAGAGGCTACCTCATTAAGTGAGGGGGGCGGGGGAGTCCCCATAGGAAATACCAACAGATGGAGGTATCAACCTCTCTAGTGCTGAAATGCACAGCTTTTCCAGCCAAGAGGTGGGAAATACACCTGCACTCTGAAGGTGGGGATGTTGCAGCTCAGAGGGGTATCTTTACTGTAATGTTAAATAGAGTGAAAATGTTTTAGTCTTTATCGGGTCACCTTACCTTGCTGGGAGAAAGTTGGTGGTAACAAAAAATTAAGAATAACATTATGGTATTATTATTATTACAGTACTATTATTATTATTATTATTTTTATTAACACATCAGCCATTTCCCACAAAGGTAGGGTGGCCTGAAAAAGAAAAACTTTCATCATTCACTCCATCACTCTCTTGCCAGAGGCATGCTTACACTACAGTTACAAGACTGCAACATTAACACCTCTCCTTCAGAGTGTACTTCCCATCTCCAAGACTCAAGTCTGGCCTGCCGGTTTCCCTGAATCCCTTCATGCTACCTTGCTCACACTCCAACAGCGCGTCAAGTCCAAAAAACCATTCGTCTCCATTTGCTCTTATCTAACATGCCCACGCATGCTTGCTGGAAGTCCAGGCCCCTCACACACAAAACCTGCTTTACTCCCTTTCTCCAACTTTTCCTAGGCCTACCCCTACCCTGTCTTCCCTCCACTACAGATTTATACTCTCTCGAAGTCATTCTATTTTGTTCCAACCTCTCTACATGTCCGAACCACCTCAACAACCCCTCCTCAGCCCTCTGGATAATAGTTTTGGTAATCCTGCATCTCCTCCCAATTTTCAAACAACGTATTCTCTGCATTATATTCACACCACACACTACCCTCAGACACAACATCTCCACTGCCTCCAGCCTTCTCCTTGTTGCAACATTCACCACCCATGTTTCACACCCATATTAGAGAACTGGTATAACTATACTCTCATACTTTTCCCTCTTTGCTTCCACGGACAAAGTTCTTAGTCTCCACAGACTCTTCAGTGCACCACTCACCTTTTTCCCCTTGTCAATTCTATGATTCACCTCATCTTTCACAGACCCATCTGCTGACACATCCACTCCTAAATATCTGAATACATTCACCTCCTCCATACTCCCCCCCTCCAATCTGATATCCAGTCTTTCGTTACCTTATTTTTTAGTTATCCTCATCACCTTACTCTTTCCAATATTCACTTTTAGTTTTCTTCTTGCACATACCCTACCAAACTCATACACCAACCTCTGCAACCTCTCTTAAAAATCTCCCAAAAGCACAGTGTCATCACCCGAGCATTCACTTCTCTTACAACTCGATCCGTAAATATATTAAACAACTATGGTGACATCAGACATCCTTGTCTAAGGCCTATCTATGTTTACTGGGAAATAATCTCCCTCTTTCCATACTCTAACCTGAGCCTCATCATCCTTGTGAAAACTCTTCACTGCTTTCAATAACCTACCTCCTATTCCATATATTTGCAACATCTGCCACATTGTACCCCCTATCCACCCTGTCATGCCTTTTCCAAATCCATAAATGCCACAAAAACCTCTTTACCATTATCTAAATACTGTTCACCTATAGTTTCACTGTCAACACTTGGTACACACCCCCTGCCCTTCCTAAAGCCTCTTGTTCATCTGCTATTCTACTCTCCGTCCTACTCTTAATTCTTTAATAATAATAATAATACTTTTTATTTGGACATGATCATAGTTGTACAAGGAATTATAGTAGTTGGGTGTACATGCCAAAAGCCTCAAGTATGCGGAGCATTATGGGCAGGCTTAAAATTAACTTAAGATTAACTAAGCAATGATAGATTCAGTGGTAAAAATTGCGGTAAACAATTTACAACATGAAGTACAAATGAGTATTTAAACAATGAAATTTGAACAACAAGATGAAATTAAGACACATGCGCAACACCCGGGCATCCCTATCGTAGACTTTCACCATCCAGCCAGCCACTGGATGGCGAAACGTCCACAACAAAGACAACCAGACGCCGCACATGTGTCCTAATTTCATCAGTAGTTGTAGTAGTAGTAGTAGTAGTAGTAGTAGAAGAGGTAGTAGTAGTGGTAGTGGTAGTAGTAGAAGTGGGGAATAAGGAGGACGAGCCAGTCAAATACAAAGGAAGGGGGCACTGCAAGAGAGCTAGTGCCCACAGAGGGAGAGCAAGCGCACAGAGGTGCGTGAAAGGGGAAGTGGTGAAATAAAATGAAGAAGGAACAGAAACAAGAGACAGAAGAGAGAAAGACAACCCAGAGGAGGAAAGGGGAGGAAGAAAAAGAAAAAGAAAAAATGAGGAGTCAGGTTAAGTCACGGGTGTTCTGAAGTTTGGAGCATTTTACAATGTAGTGGGAGAGGAATGCATCTACAGAGACGAAGCCAGGGCTAAGGTTCATACAAGGAAAGTTGTGTATTAGAGAGGATTCAACTAGACGGCGACTGTTTGAGTTGGAAGTAGGGAAGACAGTTTTAGCAGAAGACCAGTCAATAGGAGGGCTATGATCTCTGACGTGACAGAAAAGAGCATTGTTAGTGTCGGCAAGCTTAACACTATTTTTGTGCTCCCTAAGTCTGTCAGAAAGAGATCGACCAGTTTCTCCGAAGTATTGAAGAGGACAGGAGGAGCAAGAAATAGAGTAGACACCAGGAACATCTGTAGAGGGAGGAGAGGTATGAACGAGATTAGTGCGAAGAGTGTTAGTCTGGCGGAAGGTAAGCTTGATGACTAAGGGACGGAGAGAATTATTGAGATTAGAAAGACCGGAAATGTAGGGATATCTCTGTAACCTTCTCTCTACCATTGCCTTTGACACTGCTCGCCTGAATACACAAATTCATTCTTCCAAACTACAGAATAAACTTCAACGTCTCATCTCAGCTAGCCCCTGGTCTAAATTCTTCCTCACTGACTGTGTTACTAACCTGTCTTCTGTCTCACTCTCTCAGTATGAGCTTGAACTTCTTGGTTTTGGCCTTTCCTTTGCCACTTCGCCTACTCCTCGCGCTGGTATTTCCCTGATTAGCTCTTTTGATTCCTTTCGTCAATCTCGCTCCTGTAATCTTCCTGACTTGTCCACTTTTCGTGGCGCTCTCCTCCTGCTTGTTAGTCTGTTTCTAAGAATCACCACCTTCCACGCCGTTACCAACTTGCCCTTTCTTCTCTTAAATCCAACACTAACATTGTCATACTATCTTCTGACAAAGGTAATTCGGTAGTTATCCTTGATCGCGAGGATTACCTCCGTAAAGCTGATGTCTTGCTCTCTGACTCATGTACCTACACTCCTCTCGTTTCCAACCCTCTTGATCGCATCAAGAGAACTTTCAACAAGAAACTAAGGACTCTCTCCGACCCTGTCCTCCTGACTTGACCTTGTTCAAACGGTTTTGTGTCATCTGTCCCTCTCTTCCCTATTTCTATGGCCTTCCCAAAACTCATAAACCTGATATTCCTCTTCATCCTATCATATCCTCTAGAGGTTCTGTCTCTTATTCTCTTGCTTCTTGGTTGGCCAAAACCATCACTCCCTTTCTTGGTACTTTTTCTCCTGCCCACCTCCGTCACTCGCAAGGCTTCATTGAACGGGTTTGCTCTCTCCCAACCTGCAAGATGCTTAGTCTTGACGTTGAGTCCCTCTTCACCAATGTCCCTCTTGATGATGTCCTTGATTTCCTTAGAGAGAAGGCCCATGAAGGGTTTCTTCATCTCCCTATACCTACTGATGTCTTTCTTGATCTTATCCACCTCTGTGTGGACTCTAACTCCTTTTCCTTCCAAGGGAAATATTATTCTCAAACCTTCGGTGTCACTATGGACTCTCCTCTCTCTCCTGTCCTTGCTAATCTTTACATGGAATACTTCGAGACTGTTCTTCTTCCTACCATCGATGTGCAGCCTTCACTCTGGCTCCTCTATGTGGATGACATCTTTGCTCTGTGGCCTCATGACTCCAATCTCTTCCAACCTTTTCTTGAAGCCCTTAATAATCTTGCCCCTTCCATTAAGTTTAAAGGTGAATGGGAATCTAATTCCTTGCTTCCTTTCCTTGATGTCCATGTCCACCGCTCAGATACAGGTTTTTCCTTTTCCGTTTACCGAAAACCTATGCACAGTGGCATGTACATTCACACTTTTCCTATCATGCTTCCCCTGTCAAGAAAAGTGTTCTTATCTCCCTCTTTCTCTGTGCCCTCCGCATCTGTGATCCTCAGTTCCTTCCAGCAGAAATTTCCACTCTTCATAATTCGTTTACCCGTCTTGGCTACCCGTCCCATTTCATAGACTCTGCCCTCTCACGTGCTAAATGCAATTTCTTCTCTCCCAAACTCTCTACTCCTGGGAACTCTTCTATCCTCTGCCTTCCCTACATTCCGGTCTTTCTAATCTCAACAATTCTCTCCGTCCCTTAGACATCAAGCTTACCTTCCGCCAGACTAACACTCTTCGCACTAATCTCGTTCATACCTCTCCTCCCTCTACAGATGTCCTGGTGTCTACTCTATTTCTTGCTCCTCCTGTCCTCTTCAATACTTCGGAGAAACTGGTCGATCTCTTTCTGACAGACTTAGGGAGCACAAAAATAGTGTTAGGCTTGCCGACACTAACAATGCTCTTTTCTGTCACGTCAGAGATCATAGCCATCCTATTGACTGGTCTTCTGCTAAAACTGTCTTCCCTACTTCCAACTCAAACAGTCGC